GTTAGCTGGTAAATAATTGGATGGATCTCTAAGGAAAAGCAAATTGCAAAATCAGAAGTCAATAAAAGTATCACTTGGGTTTGCGGTCAAAGATCTCACTTGGGAATAGAAGACAGGGAAGCCATTAATGTGTGCTAAGGGAAGCAACTGTTTGAGGGGGGGAACTGGAAGAAACTCGGAGCTGCTAACTGTCCTGTCTGCTGCAGGACCATCCACACTGAGCCTGCAAGTGCTGTATGCACAGGTGTTTCCACGTCACATTCACTAAGGTATGCTACAGCCCCTTGGTGTGTTAGTATTAATATTAAGTTCTGCTCAGCTTATCTACAGCAGCAGCTGGCTGCTTCTTCCAAATTATCATACATACGTTCAAGGGTCAGGTAGACCCAGGCTTATATAATTTGCCTGGAATTGTGGTGAATTCATCACCACCAGGAAAGAGTAATGCAGGTTCAGAAATATTTCTAAATAGTATATTCTACTTAAAAGAAAATTAATTAACACAGGGCTATTCCTGTCCTAAAAAAGGAGGTCAGACTAAATGATCACAAATGGTCCCTTTTGTCCTTGTAATATACACATACACAGAGTTGGGAACTGATGGAGAAGAGCATAATGCCAGTGGTAATGCCATGTGGAGAATACCAGAGAAAATGGGCCGAGTTAAATTTGGACAAATATATCATCAGAGCAGCAGAAGTATTGCCACCCTGTTTTCCCAGCTCAGAGAAAGCAGACTTAACCCACGGTAGCACTGCAACAAGCCACGTGAAATATTAGTAAGGTTTTTTGACGCTCTCCAGCTTGTACAGCTCAGTCATGTAGGGTGTAATGAAATGTTGATGGAAAGCCACGTAAGCCATTCCCCTGATGTAATGAGGCATTTTAGGATGTTAATACGGAGCATGGTATAGGAGAGCATGTGGCTGTGCTGCTTCACAGTGCCTCATCCTCAGAAACAAACCACACACAGAAGTAACAGTTGTACCCACTACGTTCTCTGGACTGCCAAGAAATATTGCTCACTGTTTTCGCATCGCTTGGCTGCACAGCAGTTGCAGTCAGACAGTATGGTGCATGCTGCATGCAGCTCGGCAGCTTCCTCTCAGCCCAACAGCTGTTCAGTTTTGGTCTTCCTACCTCGTGGCCGTCCTATGGGATGCTATTCCCCATATTAATTAAATCTTCCACCCCGTGACTTCCCAGGTGCCAGGGACCCACTCACACCCCTCAAGCCAGAGACCATCCCAGAGCAGTTGCTGCCAACCTAATAACCCATTTCCTTAATGCCCAACTCTTATTTGAAAATTGGGTGAGATTCTCTTCTTCCAAGCTGCTCTGGCTGCCCCATCAGCACCCAGCTGTGTGGGCAGGGAGGCTGGGGAGGGGGAGCAGCTTCTTCAAGCCATCCTAACAACAAATGCAAGCTCTGTGCTAATGCACAATGAGGCAGCTGATGTCTGCTGGCGAATAGGATGTGACCAGAAGGCATGAGAGCTGGAGAAGCTGTGCAGCATGAAGTACAGCCAGGCATAGGGTGGTGGAAGGAGGGAAGTGTAAGTGCAGTCCGCTTATGGAAGAGAAGAAATAGAGAAAACAATTCTCAACAAGCAATGCCACGTGCACATGAGAACCGTGCCTGCATTGCACAAAGCCCATTCCCAGTTAATGGGCAAGACATTAAGTAGAGTTCAGTATAAAAACACCGTAAGGGAAGTGAAACAAAGATCCTTAGGAAGAGCTTGTTTGTGACATGAAACCTGAATAAATCCTCTTTCAAATACGTAAGCAGAACTGCTAAACAATTTGTATTGCTGAGGAGAAAGCAAAGGGCTGGAAGGGAGAGTCAGAGGTGGGTTTGGGCAGAGGAGGGAATTTAAATGACTCCTTGCATCTCTTCCCCCCTATTGGTGGGGGGATTTGGGTGAGGTTTTCATGGGAGCTGCCATTTCTAGGTATTTTGCACGGTAAAAATCTGATAGAGAAGCAATATTACAGGTCAAGTGGGAGCAGATTTGCGTGGGTCTGATTCCAAACAAAACGTTACTTTTCTGCTAGGACTTTTCTGCACTTCATGTGTTGCAAGAGTTTAAATTTTGGCTTTTTGTTTCAAAATAGGGCAAAAATAAATGTCGAAATATTGGCTTTTCCCATAGGAAGGAAATGCCATTATTTGAGCAGCTCTGCTTAACACAAAGGAGATTCATTTGCAGAAACTCTGCTAACTTGGAATGAAGGTCATGGCTGCATAATTGGACTCTGCTCCCTGGGCCAAGCCAGCAGCACAAGATATAAAATTAATCCCAACCCCCAAATTAAGGTTACTGTAACAAGGAGAACCAGACCACAGAATTGCAAAATCCAGCAGAGGAAGATTTGAGGGATTGCTTAACATATCAGAAAATCACATCTTTCCCTGTGGCAATTAGCAAGGGGAATATTAACACCTGGGTTTTTGCACTTGAGATTGATGGCAGCATGCTTCCTAGTGGTTCTTCTCAGCAGCTGGGAGAAACTGAGTGCTGTCAGAAGGCCGAAGCGATAAATGCTGACTGGTAGGTAGTGAACATCTGGGCAGAGGTTTCTGCTGGATGCTTTCTGACCCAGCACTGCAGCTGTTCCACTGCTCCTGAATATCTCTCTGTTAGATGACCAGAAGCCCCTGTGCAGACTTTACTTCAAGAGTCCTTTGCCCAGATCCTCACTCTTTTACGACTGAGGTCTCTTCAAGCTGAGCAGAGGCACAGGCTGAGGGCATGCTTCAAGAGGGTGCAAAACAAGCTGCCCTGCACCTATGGGACATTTTTAGTCTACTTACAAGATAAGCACAAATCTTTTTGAAAGGCCCTTTATGAAGGAACTCGAAGGGAGATGATTTGGAAAAGCAGTTCCATGCAGCGTCAGGTTGCTGCATTTGTCCTGTTTTATAACTTGAAGTGCCTGGGAGTTGCCCAGGTCAAAGTCAGTATGAAATGTGGATGAATTTGGTGAAAGAGAAGTTCTAAGGCACTCACCATCATGTGTTCGTGGCTAAAGAAAGCACAGTGATATCAAATGGGGTCTAAGGAACTGGGTGGGAATTAGTACAGATTCTATGAGCCAAGCTGAGCTGCAGGCAGGGAAGGTGGAAACAGGCAATTAACCACCATTAATCAACCATTTTGTGCAACTGCTGAGCTGGCCATGTGCAGGGCAGCTCTGCCCCTCTCTGGGTAGTGCCAGAAATGCACTGTGCATGTGAGGAGCACTTTTGTGACTGCAGCCAATCACCCAGGCCTGAAGCCGGCAGCTAACAGCAAGATCAGGTGCAATCCTATGGGGACAGCTGCTGGCTGGAGGTGGCTGAGCCATCTCCTGAACGCTCTGCTGCTGGAGCCTGTGCCACATAACCAGAGGCATTTTGGAAAAAAATCAACTCACATTCCAACACATGCTTTGTTGAAGGGGTGACTGACACTTTGCTGCGCACGGGGCTTGGCTTTCCAGTCCAGCTGATGCTCACATGAGCTGAGACTTCATTGAACTTGTGCAGCCTTTGGTAGGAAAACCTGTGCCTGTTTCCTCCATTTACAGATGAGCCACTGAGTCATGTGCAGCAATTTGCCTGGGGCAGGCGGTGTGTCCTTGCCTCCTGATACAGCAATGGCCTGTGTCCGTGCTGATTAGGCAGATAGAGGAAGGGATAGAGCTAGTCGGGCCTGCAGCTCCAAATGGCCCAACCAGCAAAGCCCCACGTGGGCACCCTGTGAGTGAACGTCTGCCTGCTGCTGCAGGAAAGCCCGTGTGTGCTGGGAGCTGTGAGGCTGAGGAGAGCTCTTTCCTTCCCAGGGAATCTGATGGGGACGGAGGGCTCAGGGGCATTTCAGCGCCATGAGCTGACACTGAGGCTTTGATCTGCCCCTTGCTGGAGGAGTCGTGCTATGGAGCAAGTTCTGGCTGCAGACACAGTGCATTGCTGCGGCTCTGCACTGGAGCTGGGTGCACAGCAAAGCCCCTGCTCTGGGGTCAGCTGGAGCAGGGGGGTGCACACCTCCATGTGACCTGTGTGTCTGGTAGGAATGGGCACAGAGGTGCTGCTGTAACCTTGGCACTGGGGCATGTATTTGGGAGCTCATTTTTTCACTCTGCCTCACTTGGCTGCATGATGCTTACAACCTGAGCTGTGCGTTGATGTAAATATTGAGATGCAGGACTGCTACTGAAAGGAAGCACGGCAGGAACGGACATTTCACAGATCAGTGAACAAAGGCAGTGCCTCCTTCCTTGAAAGCAGAGTTTGGCTCTCTGACAGTCCGTGTCGCTAACACATTTCCTTTGCACACTCAGTGAATGTGCTCTGCCTTGGGACTTGCCTAACCCACCACCAGGAAACTGCAGCTACTTGGCTGAGGCACAGGCACATGTCCATCCCCTTGGGCTGCTGTGGACAAACCACGTCGGTTTGTCTGGATCTCAGAGGTCCTGCTCACACGGACGGGGCTGAGAAGGATCTGCCTGCTCAGAGGGATGCAGATCCTGCTGTTCCTGCACACAGCCACCCCACCTAGGCAGCAGGGGATGGGGATGGAGATGAGAGCTGGTTCTTGGTGAACAGCTTGCCCTGCTCTCCATTTCTGCTAACTTTCTTGTGTGAGGAGGGAGAAGAAAGTGCAGTGATAGCGTTCAACCCAGTATGGATTGTGTGCAGCATCACGCTGACAGGTGCTTCTGTCCTCTGGTCTCCTGCAATCGTCAAAGATTTCTTCAGTCTCCTCCTCCATGCCACTCCCCCACCCCTGCTCCATGTATCCTGAGCATATTACAGTCTTCCTTTCCTCTCTCAGGAGGCATTGCTCAGAGCTCTCTGCTAACGCTGTGCCTTTCAAAGGAGAAAATCCTACACCCTGCCTTTGAGCTTCGAGAATCAAGGAACAAAGCAACTCAGAATAATCCCCTGAGAAGAAAAAGACCCACTGTCCTTCTGCCTGACCACTGACACTTGTTCCAGGTGAGCAGTTTTGTTGGGAAATCTGAATGCATGAATCAGAGCGATGCCCGGTCCGGTGACGGGATAGGGGCAAGAGGGTGGATGGAGATTGCCTTGGGCACGGGTATAGGGGGCAACAGGGACCCCCACACCCCACGTTAGGAGAGGGTACTGCCCACATGGGAATGCTTTAGAAGTGGGGCTGTATTTGGGACAGGGTGCCATAACGGTGGGCGGGTGAAGAGAGCCAGCATGACATTGGCTATAGGAAGAAAAGCACTTGTCTTCCCAAGGTTGGATTTAGGGCCCCAAACTGCAATTGGTCACCACTGTCACTGTGCTCAGCGGGGATGGAATTCCTGCCCTATGGCATCCCCTTTGGTCCCCTCGCCCTGACAGCTGGTCCCCAGCACCCATGGGTGGGCCCGGGCAGATCTGCTCTCCTGCAGCGCCTGTTGTAGAGGGACGGGTTGGCTGGAAAGGAGCTGGGAGATGAACATGGGCAAACCCCAGCGCTTCCTGAGTGCAAAGCCTTGCCAGGGGCTGCTATAGCAACTCAGCAATAGCTGAGCCCACCCCAATTGGGCTGGCGAATGGAAGCCTTCAGCGTAGGCACTTTGGTGTCATTGCCTTCAGCGTGTGCTGCCCTTCTAAGGACAAGCAAGGGGCTGGGCTGCTAAGGCTCCAACTGGCGTAGGGATGAGGGTGACTCCAGCCCATGGCCCATGAGTCTTCTCTGTCCTGTCCCTCTCAGCACTGAGGGCAAAAAAAACAATAACGGCGCAGAGGCTGGATTCAGTGCTGCTGACAGCAGGCGCTGAGCCACTGCTGGGGGAGTGGGACAGGAGGGGGCAGCCAGGCAGCCCCTGTGAAATACTAGTTCTTGTGCCAAACCCCTTCCCAGCCCCTCTCCTCCTGCAGAGATTCCCCTTCCCTCCTCTCCCTGCCGGTGTGCTTCCCTACTACTCCCCAGGGAGACTTTCCTCCCTGAAAATCCTACTGCTGTTGACATTAAACATGATAGCAGAGTTTCCTTGGAGACGAGAGAAACAGCGGGCTCCAAAATGCTGATTATTTCACGGTTTCTGGCTGGCTTTCAGTGATGAAATAAAAAGAAAAGAGTTGTGATAGCAGAGGGAGCCCAGGGCAGCCTGTGTTGAGCAGGGCACTGACTCTGCTTTTCCAGTGCCACCTCTTTACACAGGGTTTCCTGAGTGTGCCCCAAGCAGCAGTGCAGCAGCACGTGCCATGTCAAACTGGCTGCTCTGCGACTGCGCTGCCCCTCTTCCCAGGCCCCTGGAGGCCAAAAAACTGGAGAGAAACTTTACTGTGGGCAGTTCTAATTTGGCTGACTTCTGCCAGTCCCGGGAGTAAAAATGGCTAATTAGATTCACCCTTCTGTATTATTGTACATCAGCGTTAGTAGCAGGGGGACAACAATATGAGTATCAACATTTGGATCTTTCTCTCCTGTCCATTTGTCCCAAGTGGTGACAGTGAAGTTTGTCCCAAGATGACAGAACTTCAGCTTTGCTTTTACCATCCCCAAGCCAGTCACTATGGCAGCAGTGCCCTGCAGTGCCACGTCCCAGTGGTGGTCAGAAGCTTGCTTGGCCTCGAGGAACATCTCACAGAGGACCCACTAAACTGATAGCACCCATTCCTGCTGAGACATCTCTGGGGTCCCCACTCAGTCATTTCAATGAAGCAGCATTTTCTGGTTTATGTTTCAGACTGGTGTAAGAGTGCTGAGCAGGGTTTAGAGGGTGAGAGAAGAGGAGTGAGGAACCAGGTCTAGTTCTGTGCCAATTATGCACAGAGACCTGCTCCAGGACACTGCTGGGGACAATCCTGCTGAGCCTTGTCACACAGTGTGCCACCATCCCTGGAGGAGCTCAAAGAAAGGGTAGATGTGGCACGAGTGACATGGTTTGGGGGGCATGGTGAAGATGGGCTGACACTCGGATTAGAGGATCTTAGAGTCAGTCCCAACCTGAATGATTCTGAGTCGGTGATGATGAGATGGAGGGACCGCAGAATGGCTGAGGTTGGCATGGACCTCTGGAGATCATCTTGTGAGCATCTCTGCTCAAAGCAGCATCAACCAGAAGTGGTTTCTCAGGACCATTGCTCAGGACACGTCCTGTCAGTTTTCAACGTCTCTAAGGACAGAGATCGCACAACCTTTCTGGGCAGCCTGCTCAGTGCTGAACCACTCTTACAGTGAAAAAGTGTTGTCTTATGCATGAATTCTTGTATTTCAATTTGTGTCCATCACATCTCTTCTGATCACCGGGCACTTATTAGGGTCTGGTCCATCGATGCACACCGTGCTGTTAGTTGCCTTGTTCCATCTGCACAGGGATCCTGAATTCCAGCTCCCCACCTCTCCACCACATCCCTGTGAGCCCAGCAAGAGTGCAGCCCTATTGCTTTACATGGATCTCTACTTTCTACTCTTCATCCTGCGGTGCTGTGCCCATTCATGCAGAGGCACTTCAGAGGAGTTCTCGTTTGTGCCGTTTTCCCCACAAAGTGTGAGTTAGTGCCTTTGTCCCTTGGTGCCACATGCACACATCTCTTCAGTACCTCCAGGGAGGAGGACTCCACCATTTCCCTGTTCAGGCTGTTCCAACAACTGACCGCCTTCTCCATTAAGTAAATCTTCCTAATGTCCACCCTAAACCTCCCCTGGTGCAACTTCAGGCTTTTTTCTCATATTCTTTCCCTTGTCATCCAATAAAAGACTGATGCCCTCCTCGCTGCAACCTCCTCGCAGGTATAAAAGTATTTTAAGAAACCAGCCTTAGTGCTGAGCACTGAGAAAGGCTGCTGGTGGCCAACTGACAACTGGATTGAACTTCATTCACTGTGGCTCTTTGAGTCCATCCAGTTCAATGCACCCCAAAATGTGGTTTGCCCCTGGCTGCCCGGGCATACTAAGTTGAGCGTGCATCACCAGCACCTCCAAACCCCTTTCTGCTGAGCTGCTCTCCAGTTACTTGTCTCCCAGACTGTACCCATGTCTGGCATTGCTCATCCCAAGTGCAGAACCCAACCATTTCCTTTGTTGATCTTCAAGTCATTGCTAATCTCTCTGTGCTCCAATATACCCAAGGCTTCTTGTCCCTGCACCTCCCAGTTTAGTGCAATGGAGAAAACTGCTTAGCGTGCACTTCTCTCCTGCTTCCAGATAATTGATAGGAGTGGTGAATGCAGAGCTGAGCCCTGGAGAACATCTCTATTGGTTGTCTGCCACCAGCTGTAACCCCATGCACTAGGACCACTGGAGCTCTACCAGTGCTCCAGTTCATCACCAAGCATAGTGTGAACTGTCCAACTCACAGCTGGACAATTTGTCCAGAAGGATGCTGTGAGGGATGGCACCAAAAGCCCTACTGAAACCCAGAATGGTCGCATCCATCACCTTCCCTTCATGCACCATGACCTTACCCCAGAAGATCAGATCACTGAGGCAGGACCTTCGCTTGATGAACCCATGTTGACTATTGGATAGCAGCTTTGGTCTTTGAACAAAATGATAAAACGTCTTCCTTCCCCATTTTTTACTTTCACCATCTTCTGACTGCTGGCCTTAAAATGGCCAACATTCCACTGGTTATGACAAACCTCATTGCCAGGAACCAGGCATTAGTTTTGCAACACTGGGCTTTCTTACAAAATATCCTGTGCTCCCTCATCTAGCCTTGAAGTTACCTCCAGAGCTGCTCTCTTGAATATCTCAGTTCTGGCAGAGCAGAGGCTGAAGAAGCAGTCCTGATTAGGAAAGCCTGCACCAAGAAAGCAAAGCTACCTTTTTCCTTCTGGGAAGGAAAATCCATGCCATTGCAGACTGCTTGTCTGCAAGAAGTGTGTTTTGACAACTTAGCGCAGCAGCTGGAGAACTTCCAGCTGATGCAATAGAGAATATTTACACAATTTCAGGCTGGCGATGCAGTGGGAATGTGCTGTAGAGAGGGCTGCTGGATTGCAAAATGTACAGATGGAGAAAGGCAGCTAGACAGTGAGAGGGTGGGGACATCACAGAGCGGGTCCTGATGAGCTCTTCTGTGCCATGAGCATTGACAAGGCTGCTGAGCATATGGTGCAGCATGGCATCCTAGTGATTCATCCTGAACTTTCCTGCATCAAAATAGAGATTTTGTTTTCTTTGCATGAAAATACTTCTTTCCTGGTACGTGTGGATGGGGAGACATCTGGAGAACAAAGCAGGTGAGTCCCTCTGCATGCGTGGGTGCTGCTCCCACCTTCCCTGTGTGGGAACCCTTGTCATTGCTGTGATGTGGTCTAAGGAAGGCGAGGTCTGGAGGAGAGCTCGGTCTGCATTCTCGTCGTTCAGTGCGGGTCTCCTCAGGTCGCTGTGGCAAATGGGAAGCCTGCTTTGCACCAAGCAAGCCGTGGTGGTGACAGCAGATTCCATTCACTGAGAAATGGAGCACTGCATACAAAGTGCCCTTTGCCTTCCCGAGGTGTGCAGGGTGAGGAGCAGTTTGGGAGCAAGAAAGCCTCAGAGGATTTGACCCTTTATTTGTCAATTCACTTTGCAGGAGTTTGTTTGCAGGAAGTCAGACTGCATCCCTCCAGCAGACACATTTCTCACCATGAGGGCAGTAAGCTCTGGGACAGGCTGCTGGAAATCCCGCAGATACATGTGATCCTCTTTGGCTCAGGGAGGGGGTTGTTCAGGGAGTTTGTGACAGCAATGGCTGAGGTGTGAGAGGTGATGCTGGTAAGGTCAGACAGGAGGACACGAGATGTGTGAAAGGCCTTCTGGGGCACAGGGACCGTTTCTTAATGTATCATGAAGGCACAAACATTCTTGTGTGGCCAAAGGCTGGATGCTTAAAGCCTTCTTTCTAGAGGTGGCTGGATTTTAGGGAAGCAAAGAGATGTCCGAAGGGACTTTCAGAAGCATCGATGCATCTCCCGCGTCTCTCAATTCTTATATATATTTAAAAATCTGCTTCTTGGTAGCAACTCAGATAAAGATGGAAAGATCTATTTAATCATTAAAATTAAAAAAAAAAAAAAGGAGTCCAAATAAATCAAGTCGCACCATGAAGCATTGGCCGTTTAATGCCTCGATCTCATGGTAGGCATTTGTTTGGTCCAAAGCAGAGGCGGTGTGCACTTCATGAGGAATAGGATCTCGGTGCCTGGGGGTTTCTTTGACTTAAATTCAGGATTGCAAATGGAGAGGCTGTCATTTGCATTGCAGCACTGAAGAAAGGTCTCCCGGCAGCTGCTGAAGTGCCAAAGTGCCCCTTGGGTTCCTGTATCCATCCAGTCTTACATTTTCTTCGCGAACCCTTGGGAACAAGAGTCATTTTCAGCTCCTTTCCCTCCCGTGCTCCTCCCCAGCCAGGGCAGGCAGAGCAGCGTGCAGGGGCCGACCATGAGCGAGCAGAGCCACGTCAACAGCCTGTTCCTCAACGAGGACGCAGCCAAGCGGCTCCACGCCGAGGGCCGGGTGCAGCGCCTGCGGCAGGCCGTGCAGAAGCGGGCGGCGCGGGCCAAGAAGAGGATGAGCAGCATCACTGCTGACAGCGCCAAGAGCTTCTTCCGCAGAAACGCCTTTGTCCTCTTCACCATCGCCGCGGTTTTGCTCGGTATGGGGCAGCGTTGGGCACCGGGTGTAAGCGTGGGGGAAAGTCTGTTTATCCGGTAATGGTTTTGTTTTATTGGAGTGGTTTGGCTGGGGAGATGGAGCTGAAGGGGCCCTGTGTCTGTCGCTGCTCTCGTAAGAGTGAGCACTTTGGTGGTAATGGTCTCACAGGGAGCAGCCCAGTGGAGCAGCAGGAGGTGGCGGTTCAGCACAAGGCTGCCATGCATGTACACACGTAGAGGGGAGAGAGCAGGCAGAGAAAGCTAGAGCGCAGCATTGCAGACAAGAAAGGGCATTACACTCCTCTGGGGAGGGCAGGAGCGGAAGGGAGAAGAGGAAGAGGGAAGCCACAATGTAGGATGGAGTGAGGGCAGGCCACCAGCTCACTATGACCCGTGTCCATTTTCATCCCTTGTTGACCCACAGGGATCATCCTGGCCTTTTCCCTCAGGCCCTACCAGCTGACCTACCGCCAGATCAAGTACTTCTCCTTCCCAGGAGAGCTGCTGATGCGCATGCTCCAGATGCTGGTTCTTCCTCTCATTGTCTCTAGCTTGATTACAGGTGAGAAGAACTTTCTGGTGCTTTCAGCCAAGGCAATACTCAGCAAAGTCTGGTGCTGGCTGTTGGAGTTCCCTTTGTGCCCTGCCTGCAGGTGCTCGGATAAGCAGGGCTAGTAATGACAAGCCTGAACCTACAGCTGTAGTGACCGTGGTTTACACTCGTACCCCAGCTGGTTCAGTAGTGGTGAAGAGAAGAAGAAGGCTTTGTGCTTTCTCAGAAGGCTGGGGGGGGCACAGTGTAGTGCTTCCAATGGCCAGCAGTTGAGCACTAAGAAGGGTTTATCTGTTCCACGTATCCCTACTTGTGCAGGGGGGTTGGACAAAATGATTTCCAGAGACCCCTTCCAAGCCTAAGTTTAACTATGATTCTGTGATTTCATTCAGATTAACCTTAGATGTCAAAGTTTGTTGTCCAAGTGTGATTCAGATTTCCACTAGCCTAAATGAGGTTAATTTGTGCCAGTCCAAGAGTCAGAGTTGATTCTCAGCTGGAGCACCTGCCTCATCCAGGTCCTGGTAGAAGACAGACCAGCCAGCCGACCCTTCAGAGGGCAGAGGGGCTGCAATGCAATCCATTCCGTGAAACATCCCACCAGTAGGGAATGAAAGACCCGTTGTCCTGTGGCGGCATTATTTCCCTTCTGAGAGCTTTAGGAGGAAGTTGCTATATTCCCAAATTCAGCCTAAGATTTATAAATGTTCTGCATCTTCATAAGCTTAAGCAACTTCCCCCCATATCTACATCACCCTGGAGCTCCAAAGTCTGCTCCTTGCACTTCCTAAAGACTCAGCTCCCATCCCTGTCCCCTGCATGCTTCGAAACTTCCTCTGAGATATCAGATTTGCTCACCTCGTCTGTCTGCCTGACTCCCCAGGAATGGCCTCTCTGGATGGCAGAGCCTCAGGGAAGATGGGCATGCGGGCTGTGGTCTACTACATGGTGACCACAATCATAGCAGTCTTCATTGGCATCCTCATGGTGATCATCATCCACCCAGGCAAAGGATCTAAGGACAAGCTTCACCGAGAAGGCAGAATTGAGCAGGTTCAGACCACAGATGCCTTCATGGACTTGGTGAGGTAGGTGGACCAGTTGGCCGCATGTCAGTCAGTGTCAGTGAGAGCAGACTCCTCCTCTGAACGTCCCTTTGAAATGCCACAGCTTTAGGTTTATACAGTCAGGGAAAGAGGTCTTTGCTGAGTCTTTCTCAACGTGCTACTTTTAGCTCAGTCAGGGGAGGCCTATCACCTTCCTGCAGAGGTGCAGCCTTTGTCCCATGTTTGAGGGAACGGGGATTTTTTAGCCTGGGAAAAATTGGGGGTGATATATTTACAGTCTTCTGCTGCCTGGAGAGGAGCTGAAGAGAATATGGAACCAGATTTTTCTGAGAGGTATACAGGGAAAGGGCAAGAGCAAGCTGGAACAAGCAAAATTCTGATTGAGCACAGGGAATAAACTGTTCCCCACAGCTAGCGCAGGCTGCGTACTGGGAGCCAAGGAGATGGAGGAATCTCTGTCCTTGAAGAAACTCAAAGCTCTGCTGAACAGCCTGAAGAAATCCAGCATTGAATGAGGCCACCAGCAGTCATTTTTCAGTAATTTCTATGACTTAGAAGAACGGTGATCAAAATCAGTATTTAACAGTGAGGTTGGGCCAACACTTCTTGGTTTGACTACATTTGAAGCCAGGCTTGGAGGACTGCAAGGTGGTTACCCAGCTTTGTCACGCTGACATGCAATGCTTGGTCTGCAGCCCTGGAGTCCTGCCCTTCTGCTGGGAGTTAGCGTGTGGCTTTGACAAGATCAGCTTAATCCAAAGGCTGTCAAACTAAGGGATGGACTGAGACCTGACGAGTGCACAAGGATCCAGTGTCACTTCTCTATTGGAAGTTCAGAGATGTGTTATTTCTGACATTGTTTCATTCATTCATTGCTCGTTTTACTTAAGAGTCTCTCCTGGTTGGGAAGAAAAGGGGCACCCCACAGTACAGTGTTTGCACAAAATAATCTGAAGGGATTGGAGAACAGTCAGATTGAAAAATAGCTGTAATGGAAATGTGGGAAGCAGGATTAGCAATGACTATGTGCACTTCAGAGATCCATCTAACAAAGACTGCCCCAAGCATCCAGCAAGTTGAAGAAATGATACCCAATATATTGTCTGACCCCCCCTTGTCATGACCTTCTGCAGCCAACTGTGACATGAAGCTTCGTTTCTGAGGTACAGGATAACACAGATCAGATGAGTGCTGTAGAGACGAGGCTGAGAACATGGCAATATGGTACTTTTTCAAGATCCAGTTAGTTCTGATGATGCTTTTGCAATGAACCCATGTCCCAGTGAAAATCTCCAGCCTGTGCTACCATCCAGGAACCAAGTGACTGGTCATGATGTCTAAGCACTGACTTTGCAGAATGGGAAACCAGTCAGAAGACACCCAGAAGAAATGAGGCTGGCTGCTGGATGCTCTGGGTTCAGCTGAGAATGATAGGATGGAGTCAAGAAAGAAACCATTCAGATTGAACTTCATGCTTTGTGAGGGTAGGCTGAGGGAGCTGACCTGCTTCGATGTGGGGGCCAAGGGACGATCTAATAGCAGCAAACAGCTACTTCAGCACAGCTACAAACGTGACAGAGCCAAACTCCTCTATGAGATGGCAGAAATCTTGACAAAATGTGCAAACCAGAAATATTGGCTTGGGGGGGACAGTGGTGTCTTTTCGCCCAGGGCTGTGGTGCAGCCCTAGGGCAGCTTAGCAGAGATGTGGGAGATCTCTGTCCCTGGGAGTTTTCAAGGCTTGGCTCGACAGAGCCGGAGCCAAATGTAGCATTTGCAACGGTTCAAGGTGAACCTCCTGAGGGCCCTGTGCTTTATAAGCCACAAAGATGGAAAGCATCGTTTCTGAGGCACACCTGCAAATTACTTCACTGCTCACCCTGCTTCGACTTTTTAGGATTTTGTATGCATGTGTAGAAGAGTCATCTAGATCCAGATCAGCTCCAGATCTTCAGCCAGACAGAAAGGGCCAATCTGCTCATAGGCTGGCATTGTGGCTGTTGTGACAAACAATGTTGCTTTCAGATTTGGCCATAAAGCCCACACTTGCTGGGAAGTCAGACAGGACAATAACCTCTCCTTGTTTTATCTGCAGGAACATGTTCCCACCCAACCTGGTAGAAGCCTGCTTCAAACAGGTATGAGATCCCACCCGTCCTACAGCCTCCCTTTGTGCACTGTGCGGTAGAATATATTCCAGACTAATTCAACTAAGGGTGATTACAGGGATTTCTTTTATGCTTCCCTTCACGTTTGCCTAATTCCAAACACTCAAGGAGGCATGCTAGTCGTTAGTCTGTATTGTAGCATTCCCCAAGCAAGAGACCATGAGCATTTATCCTGCAGTTAAATGGTCTTGTGTCAGTCCTGGATTTCCAAAGAAAATGTTGGTATCTCTCACTGGAGACAGAAATGTTGCATGTGGATTAAATAATCTCCTTTTTAGAGTTGTAAAAATTAGAAAGTACAAGAGATAACTGCAGTGCAGAGAAGAACTGATAAAGGATTAGATATAAGTGAACAACTTTAGTCCATCGACTTGCAAGATTATAGACACATCCAAAGGAGAGAACAATTCTATCTTAAGACCAAAGAGTAGATATGGACTTAAAGGTAACAGTGACTTAAAATGAAAGCAAGAGTTCAAATGGAGAATTTTATGCAGATTTCAACATTGAAACAAACTATTTAGGACAGAATGGAACTCTGTCTTTTGAAATTGACATTAAAAAAAAAAAAAAGGATGTTTTGGGCATAGATGAGTCAGGAGGTGGCATGTGGATGCAGTTCTCTAGATGCTCCAGTGCTCTCTTTTGACCTTAGGCTCTGTGAACTTTTCAGCCAAAGCATTAAAACTGGGAGTTCGAGAGCAAGCATGGCAAGTGTCCCACTGAGGTCATTGAGGGCTTGCAGTTCTCTCTGTCCTTTGGGCAGAGATTCGACAGCCCGGCATGTTGTCCTGAGCTCCTGAGCGAGGGCCTGGAGTCACCTGAAGTCTCTGTCATTTCAGTACAAGACGCAGTACAGCACCCGAGTCTTCACCAGGACCGTCCTTCACAGCAGCAATCTCACAGCAAGCGTGGCACCCACTCAGCTCCCTGCGCCTGAGAACTCCACCGGCATCCTGGAGAATGTCACGCAGGCCCTGGGGACCATCTCCGAGGTGCTGAGCTTTGAAGAAGTCATTCCCATCCCGGGCTCTGCCAATGGGGTGAACGCGCTGGGGCTGGTAGTGTTCTCCATGTGCTTCGGTTTGGTGATCGGCAGCATGAAGCAGAAGGGACGGGCCCTGCGGGAGTTCTTTAACTGCCTCAACGAAGCCATCATGAGGCTGGTGGCCATTATCATCTGGTGAGGAGCACGGCCGGTTGGAGCAGGAGGTCTGCAGGTGCAGTTTCCGCTGACCTGATGAGAAATGGAGTAGCTTTAAGGATGACGTGCATAGGAAAAGTAGATGGGCACAGCTCTCCTCCAGCTCTCCATCAGGCTGGAGGGAAAAGTCCGGATGGGATATTTGTTCACATTTCATTTCCTGTTGTTCTTTGTTTGTTTGTTTTGTTTCCACCTTAGAAATATCAGGTACACCAGGACTTGCTTTCCCCGAGGCTGCTGGAAACATCCTTGGAAGACCAGAAAGCTGAAGTGGAAGATCTCTTAGCCTTACCAGCAGGCGTAGGGCATGAGGCTTTCCCACAGAAAGCTTTCCTTCCAGCTGTGTTCCAGGAGCCTGAGCTAGCTGAATCACAGTCACTACTGCCAGTTTCCTGCCCCTCGGGGCAGCACTCTCATGCCTTGGCTCTGAAAGCTGAGCTGGGTTGACAGGATCAACTCCAAGTTGCTACCTTTCAGCTGGAGGTCTCCCAGATCCCACCTCCTCCAGATCTCAGCTCCTTGTTGCTTCTTATGCCTGCACTACACGGTCCAGACAAGGAAGGCATTGCTGCAAAAAGTCTTCTTAGTAAGCAGGATTTTACCAAATCTTGTTATGTTAAGCTCCTTACCTGTCTGTGGCTCAAGCTCTGAACGGGAGCTTGTTGTCGGAGAGATATGGGATTGGCAGAACATGTGGAAATGCCTGACAGGGAAGGATCTGTCAGCTCCACATCTTCTCCCCCATTCTCAGTCACTCCAGCTTTCTTTCCCTGGTGTCCCAGTGGCAGTCTTGTATTGGAGAGAAACATCCTAGGCACAGGATATGGCCTTACACAGACAGAGATACGGGGCAAGAGCAACCTTGAGCTCATAGCAGAGCCATGCACTGCCTGGGAGCCCCAGCCCCTCTGGCATCTTTTCCTCCATGAATGAGCCAGAATCTGGGGCCTTGCTTTCCTGAGGGGGGATAAGAGTTGCTCAAGGGCAAAGGAAGGGAGAGCAGAGTGGAAGAAGAGGACCTGCACACTCTTTATTCTCAGAGACCATTTGAAGCTACCTTCAACTACCTCAACAGGCAGAATGCTGATGGGTTGGACGTTGGTTATGCTCAGGAAATGGCCTGTGCAAATACATTAGGTAATGTTTGAAGACGTCCCCTGCCTCACCAAAACACTGCTGGTGCAGGAGGCAGGACTGTCCCCCCAGCAAGCCTTCCTGGAGCCACAGCCTGCAGAGCATCTCCCAGGAGCTGCTTTGTCCTGGGGAGATCTGGTCACAACCTGCAGCCAAGAATGTCTTCCAAGAAAAAGGTCAGAGGAAATGAAATATCTGTGAAATCCTTTCCTGAAACTTTTCCAAACCTCCCAGGCTAAGTTGGAGTTTGGCATGTGGACCTCTGAGCTTTGTGCATGAGTTGCATGTGAGCTCCTGAGCTGTAAGAGGCCAACCCCTGAGAGGGGTGGCCACGGAGCTGGGATTTCCTTCGGTCCAATTATTTCTTTAGTTCGGTGCCCATGATAATTCCCTTGCCTGTGTTGTGGCTTCCTTCCCATGGAGCCTCTGCTGCTCATGAGATGCACTGTTGGGAGAAAAAGCTAGAAGAAATGGGAAGGGTAGCAGCATGCCTCAAAAAGAGGTTGCACATAAACCACTGCCTTCACAGATTGTTGTCCCAGTCCTCAGCACACCAGCTGTGGGTGCTCTGTATGCTCCTCTTCCCTGCACGAGAACCTCTAAAGATAACAAGGCATATTGCTAGGCACACAGGACACTTGCTTTTACTCCCATTTCCTTCTTATTTCTGTAACTGTGCCTCTCAGTGAAAAAGATCCCCTCAGCCCAAGCTCTGCTAGGAAAGGAAGGGACCGTGAGGGCTCCTTATAACCCCCAGCAATGCCACAAGCAATGTTGAGGAGAGAGATAGGAACCTGGAAGGAGGAAGAAGCCTCTACCAGTGCCCAAGCTGTGCACTCAGCTGGTTTTTGACTCGGAGATCTCTCCACATTGCCAGAAAAGAAACCAGCAGTACAGCCCACCAACCAGCAGGCTCCTGGTGTGCTGGCTTATGGAGATGTGCCCAGAAAGCATGCACTGAAGCAGGTGTGGAGATGGGATATCAGTTCTGAGCTCTGTCCGTGTGTTTCATCCACAGGTACGCCCCAGTTGGGATCATGTTTCTAATTGCTGGCAAAATCCTGGAGATGGATGACCTGGCGGTGATGGGGGGCCAGCTGGGGATGTACACCCTCACCGTCATCGTCGGGCTCCTCATTCACGCCCTCTGCATCCTGCCGCTGCTCTACTTCATCGTCACCCACAGGAACCCCTGGGTATTCATTGCAGGGCTTCTGCAGGCCCTCATCACAGCCCTGGGCACCTCCTCAAGGTACAGTGGCTGCGTCGCCTCGGGGAGAAGTGAGGTTGGAGGTGGTGTGGATATTCCGGGGCTGCTGCTCAGTGCTTTGGTTGCCCTCAGTGCAGCTCTCAGGTCTCACCATTTCAGGCACTAACAGCATTTTGCGTTGGTCCAGGCAACTCATTTCAGAGCAGAAAGATTCCCAGTTCCCTGCCCAGGAGACCTCATAGTGGGCTCCTCTCTACCCATCGGCTCACAACCAGCAGTCCTCACAAACATGGTGGTGACTGTGCTTGCAGCCCTGAAACACTCAGCTCAGGACACAAATCAAACCCCACTGAATCCCAGCATTATTTCCCGTGCTCACACCTCCACATATATATGCTCACAAACATTTGCACACTTCTTTTTTGCCTTGTGCCCAGCTGGTGTCAAACTGCCAGGAGTGTCCTCAGTCACTCACACACCAAAGCAGTGGATTGTGGGGTGCTGTTGCATCAGTTTCTCCTACATTCATTTTCATGCTGAAACACAAAAGATACCCTCATGTATTCTTTTCTTATGTACTGAGTTGGGGAGGGGAAAGGACACGAGCTTTTTAAGAGCTGGAAAAGAAGTTTTGGTCTTGAGGCTCCATTCTGTGCACCCAGAATCCCCCAAATCCTCTTCTTTTGGTGTTACACCAGCACCACCAGCACCACACAGCCCCTGCCCACCCCCCTGAGGAAAGCCGTGTCTGAGCGGGCAATGCAGCGTGCACCATACTGAGGAACCCTTGCTTAGACTGTTCTTTCTCCTAGCAGCATCTGGCCTCTGGCTCACATGGCAGGGTGAGAAACAGGTGGGTAAGGTGACAACCCAGGCAGCAGTTTGGTCCCCCTGGCACAGCCAGCACATACCTGATTTGTGGTGTTTTCTAAATCCCTTTTAGCTCAGCGACTCTGCCCATCACCTTCAGGTGCCTGGAAGAAAACAACGGCGTGGACAGGCGCATCACGAGGTTTGTTCTGCCCGTGGGAGCCACCATTAACATGGATGGCACCGCTCTGTACGAGGCCCTCGCTGCCATCTTCATTGCACAAGTCAACAACTACGAACTCGACTTTGGGCAGATCATCACAATAAGGTGACTTTTGAAAGGTCTAGGGGGTTTGGGAGGGATCCCATAGCCAGCCCTTGGGTAAGCCTGTTTTGTTGGCTTGCCTGAGCTTTAGGTTCCTCTGAATGGAAAGGAAGGGGAAACTTTCAGGAATGGAAGCTAATAGGGCTTGAGTGCCATGTCTTCGAGACCCCCGAGACCTTATTGCATTCCCAATTTGGGGCCAACCCTTGGGCAGAGCTGCTGTGTGCACTCTGCTGTGCCTGGCGCTGGCAGGACGTGCCGGGCTCAGTCTGATGCCCCACGTGTCACTTTCCTTCTCTGTGACGGGGCAGAAAGGCTGCCAAGATGGTTTGTAGAAAATGTGCTGAGCCTCTTCCTGATGCTTCTGCAAATGTGACTGCCTGTATTCTTCCTTCTGCTGAGAGATGTGCTTTGCTTTCCCTCCAGCATCACTGCCACGGCAGCCAGCATTGGTGCTGCAGGCATTCCCCAGGCAGGGCTGGTGACCATGGTCATAGTGCTGACGTCGGTGGGGCTGCCAACTGAAGACATTACGCTGATCATCGCTGTGGACTGGTTCCTGTGAGTTCTCTGCCCAGCAGCATGCCCTGCCCTGTGCTCCCTGTGTCTGCACTCCCAATGTCTGTGCTACAAGCAGGCTCCGTGATCTGTATCAGGAGGCCTTTGCACAGAAGCCCTCTCTGTTCATTCATCTTCACCATATACTTCAGTGACCCAATGCATCAGAATTCACTTACAGATCAGCTTGGTGACCAAGCAGCATGTCCTTAATTTGCTTTATCTTACTAGATAACAATTGGAAATGATCTCCAGATCAACAGGGACAGGTTGTGTCAGTAACACAAAAATTCACACTGCTGAGTGACAGTGGCTCTGTGCTACCAAACAAGGACAGTGGGATGGGATGGGATGGGATGGGATGGGATGGGATGGGATGGGATGGGATGGGATGGGATGGGATGGGATGGAAGGGACTGGCTGGACGAACCTGAGCATCTAACCAGCCACACAGTTCCACTTCTCTCCCTTTTAAAATCTGGGACAAGTGGTTTCACAGGAGCATCCTCAGGAAAGAGATTGAAGAATGTTCTGTCTTCTTAAACAAGAAAAATACACCAGCAGTGTTTCCTCTGTTCTTCTGTCTTGTGTATTGCTGGTCTGTAGCCAAAGCAGCCCAAGTCTGCTCCCAGCCACAGCTGAACAGTGGGAAACAGTCTGGTCCAACACTTCCATTCATTCTGGGAGAGGTGCATAAGATCAGAACTGGCTGGAAAATCCTACCTGCTGTTGTAAATGCTGCAGGATATTTTGGTTTGCTGGACTGATGACAGGTTTTCAATATTCAGGCTTATATATCAGGTTTTCTTGAAATGTTCTTCATGCCCTTAGCTGATACAAGAAGTTGCATACCACTTTTCTCTCTAATTTTTCAGAGACCGCCTTAGAACGACCACCAACGTCCTGGGGGACTCTCTGGGTGCTGGCATTGTGGAGCATCTCTCCCGGCAGGAGCTGGATGCGCAGGAATGCGAACTCGGTAATTCTGGGATAGAGGAGAAAGAGCAGCCCTGCCTGCAGGTCTGCACACACAGCAACAGCCTCAGGCACCCCAGCAGGGAGACAGCGCTGTGAAGTCAGGCAGCATTACACACTCATGCTGTATAAAGCCAAGACTTGAAGCAGAAGTCTTGGGGGCCAGAGAGGAGGACAGAACACGACAGACTTTCCAACATCTACACTGTTCTCCCCCACATGCAGTCTCCCCTGATCCCTTTTATTCCCCATCTCTTTCTGACTGACTTTAAAGAGGAGAAAATTAAATGGCAAAGAAACTTTTGTTCCATGAAAGCCTGGTTTAATCATTCTTCCTGGAGTTCAAGAGCTAGACCTGAGTAAATAAGGCGCAGTGGATGAGCTGGACCAGGAGCTCTCTCTGTTATGAGCTGAAGTCGAAGCATAGTTAATGGACAAGGTGGGCTGGTGACACCCTTCCTGCGGACTGGCACCAGGACATTGGCACAATAACTATTGCTAATCCTGCAGATGCAGAGTAGCAAAGCCTTCACTTGGTCAGTGGCTTCCCTTCAAGATTTTGGCAGCTTTGAGACCTCTGGTGGGCACCAGGGCTCCACTTCGACTCTTCAGTGGCCAGTGCTTGTGAAAAACCAGTGTTCTCCTTGTGTGCACTGCCAGCGTTGGCACAGTGACACCACCGATGCCTCCTGAGGTCTCCTCACCCCTCTGGCAATCCTTCTGGCTGTGGGTACTGAGGTCTTCTATCTCTCAAAAGAAGATGGGACCAAAGAATAGGGACAGGGCTGTGCTGGTTGGCAGCACAGAGGTCGGAATGGCTTTCCATTCATGGAAGCAGTGAATTATGAAAGTAGCAAACAAATAATGGAAGGGATCCACTGTCCAGCCTTTGGACCAGTTCTCCTGTCAGCCAAGCTCTGCCGAACAGTTCACTTTGTTTCCTTCTAAAGATCTCTTCTCTTAGTGAAAGCAGAAGGGGAATTGCAAAGCTTAAGAGCAGTGCCTCCCCAAGCAGCTGGAGCTGCCTGCGTGCCAGGGCTGCTCTGTGCCAGCTGTTTCTCAGCTCAGAGGCAGGGACAAAATCACAGAGCTGTCCTGTGCTCTTCTTGCATTTATCACCTTCATCCATGCTGCAGTGTCGCAGGGAGAATGCTGCTGTCTTGGGCTTTTCTCACACTTAAAGTATGCTTAAATTGTGCTATCAAAGCAGGTCGGACTGTGCCTGCAGCATTTGCTGCTAAAACAAGAGAAAAGGGACGGTCTGTTTTTCACAGATTTTTATAAGCTTTGATTTTGGAGTCCAATTTTTGAGGCAAAACTGAGCCCTCCAGGCAGAAGGCTGGAACACGTGGTGTGCAGCACTGTTTGTTACTCTCCACATTCAAGTAAAGGATTGCAAATGTTCTGAACATCCGAGCAGCTCCTTGGGCAGCAATTCTGGGAGTACAGCTGCAGGTACAATGACAGAAGTGCATCATCTGGGAATGTCTGAAATGCTGAAAGGCAGCAAAATCCAAAAGCTGAAATCCAGCTGCCCAAAAACTTGGCTGCAATGCTGTTTCTACTTACAGCAGTTTCTATGGTTTTCAGAATATATTGGGAAGAAAACCAGTCTTTTATAAGACTTATGGAAAATTGGACAGGAAAAGACCCCCAGACCCCAGGCAGGAATGCAAGCAATCCCAACAGACCTCTCTGAGCAATGCTGATCTCCAGGTCATACGCCCCAGTGCGTTTTCTCCCCCCTGACATAACCCTCTCCTTGTCACAGTGTAGGAACGTTGTCTCTCATCCTGACTTGGTGAGTGGGATAAGAAATCGTTATCCTCCCCTTTGCATGAATATAATTATGATGTCTGCTCCTCTCCTTTCTAGACTAAACAGAGGCAGTTCTTTCAGTATGCCCTCTCAGGTAAAAATTACTCACAGTCCCATCCTCTGGACTTTTCCCTCTCTGTTCCACACCTTTCTCCAAGTGGATTGAGGACAGCTGGGCAGAACGATCCAACTGAAGATCTATTAGCACAGAGGAAAGAACATTTCATGCACACTGAGATAGAGACCTTGGCTTCAGCTTAGCACGGGTAACAGCACGCTGCTCAGGGGAACCGCTCACAGCTGCAACAAATTCAGGTCTGCTCAGCTTATCTTAAATCCATCAGGTATCCTAGCGAGGTTAGACCTGAGCTTTGATGAGATGGCTGTATCTGAAGGCTGGATCTTATCCTAAGAGTTCTAAGGTGCGTTAGCTTGCATCTACAGTGAGCTAAGAGCACTGGCGTAGCACTGACACGGCTCAGCTGACGTGAGTCCAAACCAGCAGAAAGAACAGACCTTACAAAATCCAACAGCATGATGATTTCACAGCAGCGTGACAGCATTGCCTCCACCCCGCTGATGGTCCACGATAATTCCTACTCCATTTTAAGTAGAGCTGCTGCTAGCCAGTAATTTCCCAGCCTGTTTGTGCAGTTCATTACTGACTGTTACCTAAAAACAGTAATTTCTATTTATCCTTATTGAATCACATCTTGCTTTTCTTTTTTTTTTGCAGATTATTTGTCCAACTTCTCAAGAAAGCATTGAATTCTACTCCTGAAGAGACTTCTTGTATATATATATATAAAGGGCAAACCAAGGGATGAATTGGAAGACAAGGAGAGATGGTTGGATTGGACTCTAGCTCAAACGGAATTAATTCTGGGAAGCCCTACGGCGTGGGTTGTGCAGAGAGGCAGACGAGTTGATCATGAGTGTCCCTTCTGGCTTTGTAATATATGCACATGCTTTCTGGTTTAGAGGTACTGCAGAGGCTCTGCTGATTGTTTCCAAAAGCTATCAGAAAGGATCCTTATGGTAACTTCTCTGAACTCAGCAGGACTCTGACCTGTTTTCAGTTGCTGTTAGCAGATGTAAGCCTGTCACAAAGGGCTCTCATACTGCATTGCATTGGCATCATCTCACTTGTTCCCACCAGGCAGCATGCCCCAAGCCTTGCCGTGTGATTTCTTGCCTTCAACAAAAGATTAACGAGCACAGATGAGTAGATGGCTCCTTTTCCAATCTTGCAAGCCAGTTTGCTGTGGGGAGTTTCAGAATATTTTTTTGCTGTGGTGTCCACCCATGTTGTGGACCAATCTATGATCAGCATCATCCATTTGTTTACAATGCCCAAGCAGTATGGTCAGGAATTTGCTTATATATGCACAAATATCTACATGCAGGTGTGTGTGTGCCTGTGAATGGGGTGCACACGTACAAACACACACACAATCATTCTGCTGCTGATCCAAGGACAGGCAATGCTGAACCCTCACTCTGTGAGGTTGCATCCTTAATTTTGACACCCAGTGTGATTTGCAAAACTGCTCCCATCTCTAAAACAACAGAAACTGTTTTACATTACAGTAATGAGTCTTCTAAAGCAAGGTTTATTAGGAGGGAGCTAATTGTGCTGACTGTGGGCTGTGGCTGCTCCCGGTGCGTACATCCCAAGGTCTCGGGTCCCCACGCTGTGCAGCTTTGCAAGGAGGCAAGCTTTCAAGTGCTCAGCCAGGAATACAGAAGTGTTTGTACTCCTTCCAAGCTCAAACTCTGACCTCGTACCAACTCAGCCTTCAGAACTGCGCAACTGAAAACATGAAATCATTTTATCAGCTGTCTTTTTAAGTCATCAGCTATTTGGGAACGCGTGCGGTCTTTTCTTTACTGCAGTACTGCTGCTTCTAGTTGCAGAAACACAGTGAGTTTCTTCTCGTGGCAAATAATTTATCCCTGATGATTGGGTGGGCAATGTTTGGGCTGAAACAGGGAGCTGCTCGATGCACACAGCCACGAGGAGCTCTTGGATCAGGACACATCCCTTCAAAGGGAATTTAGGAGAGCAAAGACATGGAACAGAGGTTTTCACACAGCGGGCCGCGGATCGCGCTCAGCACATGGTAGCTGTGTTCCTTCAGGAGCCGGATCTGCCCATGGAATCCGGAATCACGAAATCTTTTGCTCTCCGCAGGGGTGAAGGCGGGAACTGGAACTCACTGCTGCAGCGTCGTCGTCGCATTCGGGCACTTTGTGTTAATTCCCAAGGCCTTTCTTTCCATGCTGTGAGTTTCAGTGTCAATAAAGATAGTTTGCAGATTTGAAAAATAAAGGGAATCTTTTTCCACAGTGCTCCTCCATGACCTTTTTTCCCCCCCCACTCTTTTCCCTCAGAGCCGTGACCCCACAAAGTCAGGGATGCCGCGTTCAGCATTGCGTGTTACACGGCCTTATCTGCACGTCTCTGTGCTACAGGTCAAGAGCTCAATTCAGATTTTTACAAGGTCTTTCCCCAAAGCTTTTCCTTTGATGCTGCCTTCTGCGTATGTCTGCTATGGCACAGCAGCACAGGGCTGGCTTACTTGCTGCGTGTGCTGTGCATCGCACACAGGCACAAAACTTCTGCCTGGAAATCTACCCAAAGGATTCTGGGGCTTAACAAGAATGAATTTATATTTCTCCCAGAAATGCTGCATTAGTGGCACGGTAATTGAGCAATGCTCAGCTCCTTCTCCCTTTGAGAACCCTTCTTTCTGCTCCATAACGAGCCCCAGCATCCCAAATGGAAGAAGAAAGTCTATGGAATGTGGGAAAGGGGCCTGGCTGTAGGGGAGGATATAGGAACACTGTCAGGGCATGCAGGGATGGCGCAAGCAGGTCGAAGGCCCACGTAGAATTGCATCTGGCGAGAGAGGTCACAGCAAAGAAAGGCTTTTGTAAAGCACAGCCACAGCAAAAGGAAGACTGGGGAAAATGTGTGGCTGCTGATGAATGAGGTGGGCGCCGTGGTCAGGGAGGACACCGAGGGGGGGGGACCTGAACACCTCTGCTTCAGTCTTTATTGCTAAGGCTGCCCCTCGAGAATCCCAGATGCTGGAGATATTTGAGAGCTATTGGTGATCGGTGGACGGTTGGACTGGGCGATCCTCAGGTCCTTCCCAACCTTGGTGATTCTATGATTCTATGATAAGAGAGTCTGGGGGATGGAAGGCTTCCCTGTGGTGGAAGTGGATCTGATCAGAGATCATCCGGGCAAACTCAATGCACAGAAATCCACTGGCCCTGACAGGATGCACCCACGTGTGGTGTGGGAACTGACAGAAGGGACCGCTGCTCTACATCATCGATCAAAGGTCATGGGAGCAGGAGAGGTGCCCCAGGGCTGGAGGGTGGGCAATGTCTCTCCTGTGCCCAGGAGGGCAAGAAGGAGCATTTGGGAAGTCCAAACCAGTCAGCCTCACTGCCACCCTGGGAAAGTGATGCAGCAGTTACTCTGGATGTCACCTCCAGGAAAACAGAAGAGAAGAAGCTTATCAGGAGTAGTCAACATGGATTCACTGAGGGAAATCAAACACAAGGAAGTTGGTTGCCTTCTGTGATGCTGTGCCCAGCTGGGTAGATGAGGGGAGAGCAGTGGGTGTTGTGAGCCCTGACTGCAGTACATCTGACATGATCTCCCACAGCATCTCACAGTGAAGCTAAGGAAGCAGGGAAGGATGGGTGGGCAGTGAAGTGGACTGGACAGTGAGGAGAACTGGAATATGGGCAGAGCTCGGAGGGCTGCGATGAAGGGATGGAGTACATCCTCAGCCAGTTTGCTGATGGTACAATGCTGGGTGGAGTGGGTGACACTGCAGAAGGCCGTGCTGCCATCCAGAAAGAGCTGGGCAGGATGGAGAGGGGCAGGGAGGAACCTGATGAGGATTAATGAGAACAAGAGCCTGGGGAGGAATAACTGCATGCATCAGGAGGCTCCAGGGAGACCTCAATGTGGCCTTCCAGTACTTGAAGGGAGCACCGTGGTAGCAGTGGTGATGGGAGGTTAGACACGATGATCTTGCAGATTGTTTCCAACCTTGTGATTCTAGGATTCTCAGAAGGGCTCCTTTCTGCCACGGGAACCACAGGCATTCAACAAGCATCCAGCCATGTTTGCATGGGCTCTGGGAAGGAAAAAGCACTCTTCCCACTGCTGTGCTACAGACCCCTCCATCTCATCACCTCCTGCCTGGCTTCCCGTGGAGATGGGAGAAAGGGAATGGCTGTGATCCTCATGCTCACAAGGCCTAAGTGCCATCAGGCACCAACTCAAGAATGACTCTTTGCTTTCTTTATTACATGCACGGCTGTATGGGAACTGCTGAGTCACAGCCTGAACCTCTGATCACCTGAGGCGAGCCATGAGTCAGCCAGAGGAGCACAGGTGAAGGCAACTCACCTGTGCTGCTGGAAGGGGTGGAGCCTGGCCTAGACCTATTGAAGAGCTGGCTACCAGTGGGGAAGGATCTCGTGTGGAGATTCCTCCTTCTGGTGTTTTGTGGGTGAGCCCAGCATAAGGGTAAGCCTTCCATTTATTCTCTTTTGTTATCATAAACTACTTTGCCTAACTCTCTTGTTTATTTTGTGATTGTAACATCTTCATATCCATTGATTATACACACGGCGCAAGGCAGCAGCCCCATCCCAGGCAGCACCAGCCCTGCTGTGTCATGGCCACATCACCAGGAGCAGCCACCAGCTCCAGGAACCACACCCCAACTGGCACAGCCATGTCACAACAACACAACATTGGTGGTGGCTGAGTTCCACAGTGAGCTTGGTGTCACAGCAACCCGGAATGCAGACCAGAAGGGCAGTGCCACGCTGAGGTGGGCAGGAGCAGCCCATGGGGATGGATGGGAGCTGCTCCTCTTCTGCCTCGCAGCCACACACGGGGACACAGCGGGACGGCGAGGTGCTCCTGTCCTCACCTGGATTCATCTCCGGACAAGAGGGCCACTCTGCAGGACGGATAAGTCTCTCCCATACTGTGACCCACCTTGGTCCTACAGGACCCTGCAAGCTCCCCTAAGACCCCGTGCTGCAAATCCCAGGTTTTGCCCTGGATTGCTGAAACCTGGCCCCACTGCAGGGCTGACGCCAGACCGACTGGCTGCAGTGGCCTTTTCAACACACGGCCATGGAAATGGTGGCAGACAACAACCCGGTGAGCAGGGCAATGCTGGGGAAGGCAGCACAGGGAAGCAGGGCACGTGGCTGCTCCTTTCTTCCTGCCCATGTGCCTTGCAGACGGCCATCCACACAAAGATGGACCCAGAGCAGGATACACGCTGATCCTCAGCTCACTAACTGGTCTCCATGCTGCCACATAGAGAAGATAAGTCAGACACAAACCTCGCCCTTTCAAGGTCCTAAGGGACCCTGGAAGCTCCCCAAGATCCCCCTGCCCTCACCCCCGCATTTTATATTGCTTTGCTGAAACCTGGCCCCACTGCAGGGCTGGCACCAACCTACAGATTGCAGTGGCCCTTCCCACGCACGGCCGGGGAAATGGCTGGCAGACAACAACCTGGTGAGCAGGGGCCTGCAGGGGCCCTGTGACTCTGTGATAGCACAGAAGCTATCACAGCATTAAAAAAATTACAGCCTGCAAAATAAACTTTGTGATTCATTAAACCAGTGGTGCTCCTTCCATCTCGTGACGTCTGTAACACAAGCCTTTTGGGGGAGAGTTCACTTGTTTTCATCATCTCCTCCTGTTTATGTATCTGTGTACTTTAGCATCGCAGAACGGTTTGGGATGGAAGGGACCTTGGAGATCACCTCGTTGCAACCCCTCTGCTGCAGGCAGGGACACCTCCCTCTAGACCAGGCTGCTCACAGCCCCATCCAGCCTGGCCTGGAGCGCTTCCAGACAGACGGCATCCATCACCTCACTGGGCAACCTGTGCCAGCGTCTCACCACCCTCACAGGAAAGAATTTCTTCCTAATATCATGTCAAATCTCCCTCTTCCAGTTTAAAACCGCTTCCCCTCCTCCTGTAGCTGCATGCCGGCATAAAAAGTCCCTGCACAGCTTTCCTGCATGTTGTCACAACAACCCTACAGCCTTGGGGAGGAGTGGCTGGAAGCTGCCTGACAGAAAGGGACCTTGGAGGACTGATGGACAGGCGGCTGAATATGAGCCAGCAGTGTGCCCAGGGGGCCAGGAAGGCCAATGGCATCCTGGCTTGGATCAGGAATGGTGTGGTGAGCAGGACCAGGGAAGTCATCCTGCCCCTGTGCTCGGCACTGCTGAGGCCTCACCTCGAGTGCTGGGTCCAGCTTTGGGCAGCTCAGCACAGAAAGGACACGGAGGTGCTGGAGCAGGTGCAAAGAAGGGCAACAAGGCTGCCGAAGGGCTTGCAGAATATGGCCTGTGAGGAGAGGCTGAAGGAACTGGGGCTGCTTGGTCTGGGGAAGAGGAGGCTGAGGGGAGACCTTATGGCTCTCCTCAAGTACCTGAAAGGTGACTGCAGTGAGAGCAGGGCTGGACATTTCTCACTGGTGACAAGACGAGGGGAAATGGCCTCAGGTTGTGCCAGGGGAGTTTTAGGTTGCACATCAGGAAGAACTTCTTTACAGAAAGCTTCCCAGGGAGCTGTGGGGAGTCAGCATCCCTGGATGTGTTTCAGAACCGTCTGGCTGTGGTGCTCAGGGACATGATTTAGTGGTGAATGGTTAGTTAGGGCAGCGTGGTTGGGCTGAGGTGGGACTTGATGATCTTGAAGGTCTTTTCCAACCTGAGCAATGTTATGAATATTCCTATGTGCTCCGTTCAGGCCCTGGAAGGCCACTATAAGGTTTCCTTAGAGCCTTCTCTTCTCTGGGCTGAAAAGCCCCAGTTCTCCATCCTCCAAAGCAGAAGAAATTGAGCAAAGGAGGCAGGCAACCAATATGGCTAAGCATGGACCTGCAGCTTAAACTGAGGGCAATGAGAGAGATGTACAGGAAGGGGAAGCACGGTTGTGCAGCCTGGGAAGAAGATCAGGACATTGTGCACATGTGTATAACGATGATCAGGAAAGACAAGGCACAGATAGAGGCGAACTTGGGATGGGATGTGAGAAATAACAAGAAGGGGCTCTGCAGGTACATAGGCAGGAGGAATCGGATGTAGGAGAGCATTACACCTCTGCTAAATGAGGACGAAGAACTGGCTTCCTCAGACTTGCAAAAAGCTGAGGTGCTCAATAAATGCTCTGCCTCGGTCTTCACTGGAGATCAGGCTTCTGCCCATTCCTGCCTGCACACTGAAGCTCCAGGTGTGGGTGAGAGGAGCGGATTCCAACCAGCTGTTACAGTGGAAC